ATAAATGACTCAATTTGGGAACTGCTTCAATTAGAGTGGAATCTCAATCTTTGGGATGGAAAATAAAAAGTGGAAAAATATTTAGGCAGCTTGTAGTTTAGCTTTTATTCACTCTTCAATCTCTCGTGCAGTCTGCAGAACACAGACACACCTTTAGGAGGAGGGTATTGTAACGCAACGGGGGCTCAGACGGGTGCCCTTGCCGCATTAGGTCGGCCCCCCACCGTCGGGGGCTCGAACCTGGGACTCCCGCGTCACTCTGCAGGGGTCCAGCCCGGTGAGCCAAAGAGAGATCTCTCTACAGCCCAGTAGCTGTAGTCCTGCTATCACAGGGAAGGGCGGTGACGTCACCTGCTCTGGTACGCCGGCTGTTACACAGTGCCTGTTGGCCGTAAGCTTTACACTCTCCCCCGCTTAAATCGCCGTCCCCGGCGAAGGGCTATCCCACCCCGCTTCTGACACCAATGTAACGCAACGGGGGCTCGGGCGGGCGCCCTTGCTGCATTCGGTCGGCCCCCCACCGTCGGGGGCTCGAACCCGGGACTCCCGCGTCACTCTGCAGGGACCCAGCCCTGTGAGCCAAAGAGAGATCTCTCTACAGCCCAGTAGCTGTAGTCCTGCTATCACAGGGAAGGGCGGTGACGTCACCTGCTTTGGTACGCCGGCTGTTACACAGTGCCTGTCGGCCGTAAGCGTTACACTATGATTCTTCATATCCCTTGCACAGAAAATGCTCATTCCAGAACTCATTTTTTTGCATTTTAATGCCTCTTAATATATGAATATTCCTTAAACGTTCTGAGTGAGTTTCTTTTCCTGAGCTCCTTCTGAAGTTACTGAAGGGGTAAACTGAAGCTGAGATCTGTTTTCCTCTCCCAGACCCCAGTTCCTGTTTCTCTCTGTAGCAGCCATGAATGCTGCTGTCACTGCTGTTTCCTGACAAGTCCTGCTTTCGTGTGGCTTATGAAAGAGGCTAGAAGGACTTGAATGTATTAGTCTGTCTCACATTTGGACCCCAGTGTGTTGATCTCCCTTGCATCTGATTAATAGCAGATTATGGCTGCTTTGTCAAAGTGTCAATCTGCTACCCTAGCCTTCTGGAGTAGAGCCCGGTCTTTCCTTTTGTTTATTATATGAATAAGCTTGTTTTCAAGTTCATGCAAGATATTTTACAGCCACAGGGTGCTCTGTGAGCTTTTTTGTTCCTGTTTCCTCCACATCACTGATGCTCAGAATTTAGACCAGGTGCTCTGTCTTGGTTTGAAGTGAAGGGAAAATGAAGCTCAGAACAACAAGTGCTCAACAGGTACAGTACTTAGTGACCTCTTGAACAAGATTGTTGCCTACCTAATGGGCATCGCCCACTTTTCAGTTAAATTGTGTTCTATTTACACAACGCAAGTCTGTAGCTGTACCTTCTTCTTCTTGCACAGATAGGGGTGTTTGTGGTCAGAGTGTGTCTGGGGTAGCAACAGTGTAGGGAGGGAGGGGAGAGACTGAAATGTATGAAGAAGCTGGTATGTTAAGTTTTGCAATAGTAAAGTAATAGTAGTGGGAAAATAAGTGTGCTTGAAAGAGGGTGAGAATGGGCTTGTTTTTGTTTCACCCCAGATATCTGATGTTTTCTTCTTGAGGAAATATTTTGTTAAAAGTTCCAAAGATATTGATTTCTATTATCTGTATTTTCAATTCTTACCGGATGTGTCACGTGTTTCTCTCCAAGTGCCGTACTGACTTGGCATCATCTGGTTATATGATGGTAAAAAGTAGTAATATCAACTCCTCACAATCCCCTCCCCCTGCCCGTCCCAAAGTTAAAGTTGTTACCAGAGCTGTGGGGAGGCTGGCTTTCCTCAAAGAGAATGCCACTGCCATCTGCCAGAAGCTCTTGACAGCACAGGAACATCCATCGCCAGTGCTCTACAGTCAGATCCGCTGGGCACAACTCGAAGAGCAGGCTTGTATTAGTTACATCATGAGAAATCTCTAGGCCTTAATTACTAAGAGGGATGCATTCATACCTCTGCCAAAGAAAAAAAAATGCTTGTGCTGAGCAAAAATAAAAGCTGTCTTATGTGGGTTGTATCATTGCTACTGTTAGCCTTACAGTATGTTAACCTTAGCTCTCATGGTGATGCTTAGTCATTGTTCATTATTGATTCTATTAATACTTAATTTTGTTTCTGATGCACGTAGCCTACCATCTAATGCAGAATTGGGCTTCCAATGCATGTAAATGAGTAAACAGAGACAAAGTTGCAGAAATCTTTCATAATACTGATGGAAACAAACCCAGAAAAGAAATTTCAGAGGGAGCTGTGAAACTGTGGGCTCCAACAAGTTAGATGCTTGGGAATTGAAACATTGTTCTTTTTAAGAACTGTCGTGCATGACAGAAATGTATGAGGTAAATATAAAAATACTGACATATTCTTTTCCTAATTGGAGTTTTTTTACCTTTATTTTGTTTATCTCTGTTGTGAAAAGGCTTTTATTTGCCAGGTGGATTTGTTCTTCTATCCCGTGTTTCACACAGACTAATGTGCTATAATTTTTTTTTCTTCAGTGTTCTTTTTTAGAATTTTAAAGCGCTTTCCACATTTTGTGGAAAAAGCTGTGGGGAATTCTGTGCGATATGTTGACAATTTGATGCCACATTTAAGAAGTTACAGATTCCACTGGGTATATAATGAAAATGAAAAGCTCTGCTGAGTGAAGCCAGAGATAGAATTGATCAACAGCAATGCATAAAAAAACACAAGAAGTATTTTTGACATCTACTGTACCATCTTTAGCTTTAATTGGTTAAATTGATGTTTACTTCTATTAAGCTCCCAACATTCATGTTTGGTTCACTGAGCTTTAATGTGTTTTTGAAATAGGAACTTCAGAAAATCGTTTGATGATAACAATTAGAAACGTGTCTTTAGGTCTGGTAAATGACAACTTTGTGTGAAACCATAACTAATTCAGATTCAATCATATTTGACAATAAAGACTTTAGGTGATTGTTTGGAAAATGGAGATAGTAGGATCAAAAGCCTTAAGATCACAGAGAAAGATGTAGCAATCACACAAACTATTATTCTATTACTTCAGTTTTTCAAAAAACATCTTAGAAGAAGCAAAACAGCAGTAATTTCATGAACTTGCTAATAATTTTTTTACGGTCTCCAACAAACAGACCTTACTCATTTTGTCTCGATACTTGATTGAAACAATGTTTTTTTCTTTCATCTGCCCATGTATCTATTAACCATGTTTTGCTTGGCCAATTTGCGATCTGTTTACTGCTGGCACCTGTAAAGCTTGTTTCAGTCCCGAAAGTTGTTAGGAGCTGCAGGGGTGATACCGAGTTTAGCTCCATTAGCCAAGAGACAGAAGCTGATGTTCTATTACAGCGCCAGGGTAGTCATTAGTTGGAGTGGAGGTATTGCATCTGGTCTCATATTGTGAGGTACAGCAAGGCTGTTTCAGTGATGTCACATGAGATCTCTCAAGAGGGTACAAGTCTCCTGCACCAGGACACCTTTCATTGAGAAGACGAATTGTGCACTGTTCACTATGCACTGCTGAGATACACACGTACTGTAGCCTACATGTCAACAAGACTTGAACAAAAGTGTGTTCTGAGCTCAGAAGCAAGACACTTTCAGTTGAAATCACAGATCTCTGAGCAAAAGAATGATTTCACATTGTACAATATGCCTGTTGTTGCTCTCTCTAATCTGTGACTAGATTTGTATTATTTTTACTGTCCTAGTTCTTTAACCACTGTGTCTTGTGAGACATATAACTTTTCACATTGAATTTGCATTTACTGGTTTTGAAGTGTAATTCAAGCTGGATAGACATGTCACATACTGTACAGCGTGTAGTTAAATAAAATGGTCAGATATAGACCTTATAGGTGCAGTTCATTTTTTCTGCTGGGGTTATACAATAGAATTACACCTCTCACCCACTCCATTCCTGCTCTAGCTGTTCCCAGGACACTGAGATTAACTACTGTATTTATGCCTATTTCTAGATGCTGAATCCTTGACAAGTATATTTGTTAATAAATTTATGTAACTTCCAATGTCTGTTATAGTTAATATTGCTGGGGTTAAAATAGTGCTGGGTGGTTGATGTGTACTAACTTTTGCAGTTTGTGAATTTTGAGTTACTTTCCCAAGTTCAGAATCCCTATAACTGTATGAAGCTTTTGTCTGCCATTGTGTTTATGAGTGGGTACCTGATTATCACCTTTCTAAATAAGCCAATGTGGTAGAGAATGGTCACCTTTTTCTTCTTCTTTCTAAGTTGCTCAGGCTCTCTCCCCAGCCATGTGCATTGGTTGGTTTCCTAAGTTTATGTGAAAGTTATTAATGTATAGTTCTGAATGTTTAAGAAGGAGAGGAATTTGTGGATAGCGTCAACTATGGATCCTCCCGTGTGTAGGCAGGAAAGGCAATGAAATTAGGGCCTCTCGTTATTTCTGTTTCAAGAGTATTGCAAGTAGTGTTTCTAAGCTTAATTTACAGAAGTATTTAAACAACTCAGAGTTTATATACCTCACCTGTCAAACAGAGGCATGCATCAACTATGTTTGCACAGTGCCTGATTCATTGTTTGTTTGCAAAGCCTGTCCTGTCCAGGTTTTCTAAATAAAAAGTACATTATTGAAAATGTCAGTGGATTTTTTTGCAGCTCAGTGGCATTTCTCCATTCAGTAAAACCTACACAAATGCTGTTCTTCACTTATGAACTTCTAAAAGTAATGAGCTCAGAAATAATTAATAGGGTAGCACAAAATCTCCAGAGTGAGTGCTTTTTTTAATTAAGCTAAATGAATGGGTGTAAATTTGTTTTTTTTCTGCTGTAAAGTCTTTACATACCATGATTTTGAAAAGAGCTCAATTTCCCAAGATGCGGTGCGAAATCTGGTGTTCACAAAGTTGAGGTCTTCACAAGTACAGCGCTTTGCTAACCCATGGTCTCCCTCTTCTTTGCTGTAGCCTGTGAGCTGATGAACAGAGGGATCCTGGCGCTGGTCAGCTCCATCGGCTGCATGTCAGCGGGCTCGCTGCAGTCCCTGGCGGACGCCATGCACATCCCTCACCTCTTCATCCAGCGGGCGCCAGCGGGCACCCCGCGCTCCAGCTGCGGCATCACGCACCGCACCCGCTCAGAGGACTACACCCTGTTCGTGCGCCCCCCAGTGTACCTCAACGAGGTCATCCTCCGGGTCGTCACCGAGTACACCTGGCAGAAGTTCATTATCTTCTACGACATTGAATATGGTAAACCTTCCCTGTTTCTTTTTTTATTGAATTGGTGTGTTTTCTGCCCTTGTCTACACCTGCAGTGAGGTGCAAAACTCTTTCTGATGAGGTCTGTGTAGCCTTGTCTAAAATACGTGCGGGATGAAAAACAGTCAAAGAATAAGAGGGACACACAGTATTAATAAGTTAACAATGTTCGGCCCAAACAGCACTTCAGTGTGACGTCATGTAGCTACAGTATAATCTAAATGGGCACTCCAAGGCAGTCAAAGCTGAACTCCGAATCTCTGTTCTCCCGTACAGTGAGTGTGTGTGTCTGCATGTGTGTGGCTCAGGGTTATTCAGAGCTTGCTTTTCCTTAGTCCCTTGCTTTGAAATGTCTTCCAAAGGTGCAATCCACTGCCAGATGGTAAAGTGGTTCTGAACCTGATTTACAACAGTGGCACCCAAATGCGACCCTTGAGGGCTGTAGACCGCAGGTTTCACTACCGTTTAAGAGTTGGGTAAATTGTTGAGTTGTGTCAATGAAGTAAATAATGAGTTCCATTGGGCAATTAAGAAGGCAGCTTGGAAAAATACAGATCCTTCATCCTTTGAAAACTGGAATTGTGCACCTGTGGTTTAGATTGGTCTCTTGTACGTGTTTAACATCAATCAAATCCACACTTATGGATCCCCTTACTATTGTATTTAGATTTTTTTCTGTATAATTGATTTCCATTTGTGGGATATCAGAGTATATTTTTTTAGTTGTTTCTCTTTTTCTGTTGCTGGCGCACTTTTATGTTTTTCAGTTGGGAATGATCCCTTAAAATGAAGTTGTCTTTTGATACACTCATAATACTTTTTTTTAAGTAACTATTCTTTTAAAAATATCTGTATCCTAACTCCTCAAGGCATTTAATTTAATCTGATATGACCCTACATAACAAAACATAGCAAACTAGAAATTATAAAAAAACATACTTTGAGCTAATATTGTTATCACAGGGGCCCATATTGACCACATTAAAGACTTGACTCATTTTATTTTAACAGATATCGAGTTGTTGAAAAGGGCTTAATTTATTTGTCCCAAAGCACAATGACTTGCTATTTTGTTTATTTTAGATTCTATCAGCCTAGCAGGGTTTTAACATGATGTGCAGAACAGCAGCACAAAGGAAGAAACACCAGCGTAAGCCTCACTGTTTAGAAGTCTATATTACAGGAGGTTTGTCTTTTGCACACGAATTTCATGTGTATGCTTTTTGAAACTCTAAGAGGAAGAAGGCAGAGGGGCCAAGGCAGCCAGTTGAATCTTTAAAGGGTGTAGGTAATGTTGAGTTCAATGAACTTTGAGTGGAAGGAATAGTTACAGAGTGGCCTAGGCGAGAGGCGAGGAGTGGAGGCATAAGGGTTATCAATATGGCCAGGTGCAGAGAAGGGAGATGGGGCTGGAAAAGCACAAGGATCAGACACAAGAGCACATGCTTGTAAGAGCAGATCAGAGAATATAAATAAATACCTCAATACTTTGCCCTAAAATAGATGAAGTGAAATGAGTACATGAGTAGATGAAATGTAAGAATGATGCTTAGGGATAATGGGAGAATCTGTCTAATGCTTATTGAAAAGGAACCTTTTGCTGAGAGCTTTGATTCTTAGCACTCTATTGAATGGTCCTAGTCTTTCAGGATATGTGCAGAAGGATTAAGGTAGAATAGGAACTGTTGTACATTTGATTAAAGATTGTGAGGCAGAGGGTAATATTTTCCGGGGACATATATATACAGTAATGTGCTACATAGAGTGAAGATTTCTTGCGTTTTATGTCAAGTTGTCAAGCAGTTGGAAATATTTCAATACAACAAGAGAGTTAGTAAAATCAATCATATACAGGTTGCTTTTTTTTGCTTTTATTTACCCAACATCCAATTAGAAATAAAAGCAGCACCTTTCAGTACTAGAGTAGTATGTACAGTAGGTCTTATTCAGGATCCTGACATTTTCACTAACGAAATAGTCCTTAAAGTGATCTGAAAGATCTACTGTACCTTTCATTTAAAGGGACACTTCTGTACTTGAATACAGTGACTTAAATATATCAGAACACTGAATTCAGTGAATCTACAGAAAACAGATTTTACAGCTGATAGCTGAGAGATACATATGAAATAAAAAACAGAAAACAGAAAATAGAAGGGGCCAAAAGCTAACCCTTGTGGAACATTATAGTCCAGAACCTTACAGAATGGGGAAGGTTAATATTGTGGCTCTTTAAAGTCATCTCAGATCACTAGTATAAGTGCTTGTGTAAACAGTATGTAAGGTAATTGTAGTCCCTCAGCTTAAACTCAAAATGAACCAAGAACACATTCACTACAATCAGCATTACTGCCTTATTTTTGTGGCACACAAATATTGTATCTCTTGACTCAAATACATGATAAATATAAACAGGTAGATTGTGTACAAGATTAATTTCCTGATTCTTTGGCAAAACAGCTGTCTACAATTTCTTTTTTTTATATTATGCTGTTCAAACTTCACGTCAGTGATTTGGGTTTCCATGGTGACTTAGAAGGCAAGCCAAAATGACTATTGTTTTCTCATTCATATAAATGTGCACTGTATGTCATAGACCACGTAAATGAAGCCCTGACTAAATTAACACGTACTCTACGTGGGTGTAAAGGATCATCCAAAACTTAAAATCCAAGTACAATGATTGACAGAACTTATGGATCCTCTTTATTGAAAATGTGGATGCCAAGTAAGAGCAGTGCGTTTATGTTGCTTAAATCAAATTTATTTGACCAACTGTGCTCACCATGCCTGAAAAATAGCTGATTTCTGTATATACTTCCTGTTCATTGCCAACATCAAAGGCAGCATCCTGCCGAGACATTTAGAGGGATTTAACTGTAATGAAAGCCTTTAAAAAAAATGCAGCTGCACACTAAAGAGTAAAATGAATCTGTGAGGAATAGAAAACAGACACAGGGTTTGTGTTTTTAAAATCAGATTCACCAAATTTTAGGCTCCTTCAATATAAAAAAAAGAGTTCTTTAAATATTTACAAAATTTTAATATTTAGGATTATGTTGCAGAATTTAAGCTCATGTGTTTCTTCTCTTATATTAACAAAGTAATTTTAAATTCTAGACTGTGAATTAGGATTTATTAATTACCAATAGTTGCATTTGCATTCATGTAAAATCTAAACTTTACATTATCTTCTTTATACAGTATGTCTACATACAGTATTAACTTGTAAGAAGCAATAGTGACTTAATGAAAATGTAACTTATAGTTCGCTGGGCTAATTCTGGAAAGGGTAATAAACCTGCAGGAAAAAAAATGCTTTACTGACATGACAATATGATTGGGTTCACATGAGAAGTTGATTGTTATGTTAAAGAAAGATTAGTTAAAATGTATTTGTATGCGTGGGCTTGTGTATAAATAACTCCATGATAATGGGATCTCACAGCCACAGCCACAGCACTAGAAATCACAGTTGCCAGATTGTCATCAAGCTGCGCTTATTGCAATTCTTCATCTTAATTACCTTAAATAGCCAATTAAGAGTAATTAAGTTTTTACTGCTATATTAAGTATCTTTTTGACATGTATGCTAGTGTTTATTTTTATTTAATTGTGTTTACATGTGAAAGTGTGAATTTTAACGTGAATAGATGGATAGCTGTTAATAAGCTGCAGTAAGCATGGTGCTTTTATAAGTCAGTCTATTTTGTGATGTGTCTTTACTTCTTAAAATAAATTCTTTATTTGTGCACCTGCAATATGTCCTTTCAGAGTTTTCCTTAAAGTCCTTCTCTTCATTACCAAGGTAACAGACAGTACAGTGCTTACCTCCTGCAGAGGAGGTTGTTTATGACTGCAAATTAATTTGTGCCCGTATTTTCCTGAAGCCAACTTAAATCTAAATGAAAATATCAAGTCTTTTTAATAATTGTTTTAGTTACTTTTTCTACTACATTATACTGTGTAAAGTATTCAAGAAGGAATGTATTTGTTTTAGATGTTTTTATATGAAACTTGTTTGTAAGAAAATGTTCAATATTCACTTCCAGAACTCATATACAGTGTGTCTTGTTTTAAAGTTCAGCTATAATGTAACAAGTATTTATTCCATGATGCCTGTCATTGCAGTTTTGACTTTCCAGATCCACATTTTCTCAGCAAGAGGTGAAGAGTGGAGGTGTGAGGGTTATCAGCACGGTCAGGTGCAGGAAATAAGATGGGAAGGGGGACTGAGAAAGCACAAGGAGCAGGCACAAGAGCACACGCTACTAAGAGTGCATCACAGAGCAGAAAAATGCCTTTATGACCTAAAATTAACCTTGCAAGTCACATTGTTTCACATCCGACTACCATATAACTAAAGTGTCTCACTTAATGGTTCAAAAGTACACTTTAAAACGTGAATTCAAAAGTCATGCATGTTGACATGAACAACATGTAGAGAACAGAATGATGCATAGCATGAAGACGGTTCTAGCAATATAATTTATTGGACATACTGTAGCTAGGCGTGAAGGAAGAGCTGAGTAGTTCAACCAGTTAAGGTTTTCACTCTGAGTGCAGGATGACCTAGATGTTGACGTTCAAGCCAGAGTCACCCCAAGCAGAAGACTCAATTAACTCAGTGCTGCAGGTAGCAGCAGGATTAGTCAGCCTGACTCGTGTTGAAACGGAACTCCTTAAAATTCCTGGTTGCCTGCAGGCTTGTAATGACATCTCCTGTACTTCTCTGTAGAGCCTGTAGCATTTCCAAAAGATCATATAGGACTGCTGTACCTCCATTGCACCTCTGCCACCCAAGTTGTACTCTCGATTTATTTACAATACAGTATGCAGGAGTTGGGTTGTGTTTAAAAGAGGAATGTCTAGATGAGTGGATTGGAGGATTCTGTCCACTTCTCCTAATGGTACATATTTGCTGAAAATGCAGTTTCAGATTGGGTGGTTGTATGAAAAAATGGGGTAAGATGAACATTAACCATGCGGTT